CCCCCCCCCCCCCCGGGCTTGGAGAGAAAATTTCATACCAAACGTTCATAACACTTATTTGGAACATCATCACTGTCACTTGAAAGTCCATAAATGAGATGCATTATACCATTTTCTGGGAAAATATAAATACACATTCACAAAACAGTAGATACAGAGTGATTTGATATTAAACATCAATTCAGCTCAGGCATTTTACCGTTGTCATTGAATGCCATTAACAAAACAAATGAAACAGACGGCAGTAATTCGGAAATTGGACTTTGAAAATGGCTGTCTTGTGGGTTGTCTAGTCTGGTAGGATTTTACCGACGTTTCAGAGGTCAATGCTGCCTCCATCACCAGCACTAAGAGTGACTCATCGCCCTGATGATGGAGACAGCAATGACCCCTGAAACGTCGGTAAACTTTTACCAGACTATACGGCGCAATAACTCACAAGACAGCCATTTTTATACTCGTCGCCTTGAGAACCTTAAATCTTACAATATGGATTGCGTGAAAAATGTCTCTAGGAACACAAATGTCGATGTTGTAGATACTGAAGAGAATTGCAGAAAGATTATCTCCCTTTGCTCTTCGTCTTTGCTTTGCTAGTCGGTATGGCTTAGAATGCAAAAATAAATAAATAAATAAATAAATAAAATACATAATTATGACATAGTGCCGCAATTTTTGAAAAAGAATAATATGTAATTATGAGCGGAAAGAATATTTTCCGAACTCATAATCATTGACCTAAATTGTTCTGGCGTGCAGAAATCGCCCTTACATTTGAGCATGGACATTACTTACACAATGTGCCTACTTCTTAAATGCTAGTACCCCAAAGCACTGTGCTAGACATAGTAAAGCTGAATTTCTATTTGAATTGACTAACACCACACATAAGCATACTTTTGCTAAGATTTTCTGGATTTTGAAACTCTAAATTTCAACAAAAGTTTATCTTGGGGCAAAAAAGTAATACGAGGTGCGATCGGAGAGTTTCAAGACTTCGCCTATAAAAACCCGTACACTCATCTCAGGTATTAAATTCATCCATCACCCTCGAAGTAGTTCCCTGGGAGTGAACACAACGATCCCAGCGCCGCTGCCAAGCCTGGAAGCATCCCTGGAAATCTTTCGTATTATCTTCAATTTGGTCACGACACATTTTCGACTCTTATCTTCGACGTTGAAGTTCACGATATTTCACCCCTAGACCTTCTGTAATCTCTAAAGGAACAGATAAAGTTATCCGTAAGCTAAATTAAGCGTCACTGCATGAAGACGTACGCTGGTTGTTCTGAATATATTGGCCGTGGGTTAAGTGAGCCCGTCTACCTCTGCTAGATGCTAGTAACGTCTCCAGAGGACTTTCTGTTGTTCATCGCCTCACACGGGAAGATTTACAAATGAGGCATGAACGGTCAGTTGCCTAAACCAGAAAGCAGACTGAACAGTGGGCGCAAAATAACTCCGAGCTTGGGCGACAGTTGGGGAGACCGCGAAAGGATAGAACATACGGAGAGATAACCCAGCGCTTTCTTGTACCAGAGGATTTGAAGTAATTGCATTTTGGCTGTGTAAGTGAGCATGAATTTCTTGTATTTTATAGTTACTTTGGTTAATAAAATGCAGTTTTGTGTAAAAGTCACTGGATCAAAATTCCACCGAGTATATTGAAATTAAAAGGGGGGAATTTTTTTTTAGTAACAATATACACGAATACCTCGTTTTATTTCGCTTCGCAGATATTGCGTTTTTTTTTTTAAAAAAAATCGAAGTTTTGTGGCAACCCTGCGTCGAGCAAGTCTATCGGCGCCATTTTTCCAA